TATCCTTTTATTTTTTTTTTTTGTCAATTAGTAATATTTGATTCATTTTCAGTCAATTATTCTTTTTTATTTTCAGACAATTAGTCAATTAGAATGTAGATGTAGTGATATTTTTACCTAATTTCTGTTTGATATATTTTTATTTGATGATGTAGAATATTATTATTAAAATATTTCCGTTTCATTTTTAATTTTTGTTCCATTTTTAATTTACCTTTACTATTATTTAAAATATACATTTACTATTGATGATGTAGAATATTATTATTAAAATATTTGTTTTCCATTTTTAATTTTCATTTACTTGATGATGTAAAATATTATAATTGAAATATTTCCGTTCCTTTGTTTGAAATTGTGAAAAATTTATGATATAATTTTAATTTTATTTATTCTATTGTGTAATATTATTGTGAAAAATTAAAATTCAATAATTTGACCATTTTCTTTTCCATTTTAGTCAATTATGAATAATTTTTCTTCAGCACGTCAATTATTAATATTCATTTCCTTTTCCAATTAACCTAATTTCCGTTCATTTTTTCATTTTTAATTTTCAAACAACTAGATATTGTCACGGGGTAAATATAATTTTAATAAAAAAAAGTGTTTTTGTACAATAAAAAAAAAAAGAAAAAGAAAATATTATTGAAAAAAAGACTAAATTTCAATGTATTAAAAACTTGTAAAGTACATTAGTTGTAGAAATACAATTAGTTGTTCACCACAAAGTAATATTTGTCCTCTGACCCCGCCACCCACAAGTTGTGTGGTTGTTTGATTCCAGTACTGTTTTATTGCATCCTGTGCACTTTTGACTATTTGTCGATGTTATTCGTGTCTAGAGCTATTTCTTATTATTCTGTTGCTTCGGTTTTGAGCTATTGATTTGTTATATAGACACATTCTTGAAGGATCCAGAGCTGTCTCCACTGGTTATTTGAGATGTTGATGATATCTGGAAGCCCTCCACACTAGTTCCGGGATGTGACAGATTATTGAGAATATGTTATAATATTGTCCCCTGGGAGGACTTGAGACTCGGTATTGTATGTGTGACTATGACGTGATTCAGAATGTACTTGGATTATGTGATTGGTATATCTTTTCCTTTAAGTTCTTGTCTTGAATATCCTTATTTAGTTGAATAAGTCTTTTGTTTGTGATCCACTGCCTTATGATGATGAGTTGAATTTTCTCGTATCCTTGCTTTGGAGTCTATTCATTGAATTGAGTTTGCTTGTTGTTTGTATCGCTTGAATCAGTTATGATATGTCCTTTATTCTTACCGGGTCCATTTGAGATAGAGTTGACTAATTGATATATATATATATATATATATATATATATATATATATATATATATATATATATATATATATATATATATATATATACATATATATATATATATAGGGACGCACTCAGGTGCGAATAAGTGCCCAGGAAGGAAATGCGAACGAATCAGTGCGCGACACGTGTCCAGATCTAATAACTTAAAAAAAAAATGCGGTGGCATTTTCGTAAATAATTGAACATCGAAGTGCAAGTAAAATCTCTTATAAGTGCACCTATTTTCACCTATAAGTGCATGTAATTTTGCCTGGTTAGCATTCACTTTCCGCAACCATTCATGCACCTGGGTGTGCTTATAACTATATGTGCAACTATTTATAACTATAGGTGCAACTACTTTCATCTATAAGTGCATGTAATTTTGCCTTGTTAACATTCATTGATCTGAGTTCAGCGGGTAGTAATACTCCTGAAAACCACTCGCAAACATTCATACACATAGATGCAACTACTTATACCTATGTGTGCAACTACTTAGAACTATAGGTGCAACTACTTAGAACTATAAGTGCAACTAAGAATTGATGCTCAGTGTAAATTTTTACTTGCACCTATAATACATTTTACATGCACTTGTAGTACATTTTACTTGCACTTCGATGTTCAATTATTTACGAAAATGCCACCACATTTTTTTAAAAAATCAGTGTTTCTCATCCATTAGATCTGGACACGTAGACGAATAGAATCCATTCCTATTTCACGCCTGGGCGAGCCGTTCGCACCCGAGTGCAAGTCTATATATATATATATATATATATATATATATATATATATATATATATATATATATATATATATATATATATATATATATTTATATATATATATACATATTCCCAGTTTCAAAGGCTATTTTGATTATGAAAAGTATATCTATATTGTTTTACATACTGGAGTAGGCTTACTTAGAAATTATCGCAAATCCTTTAAAATAAGTTTTCATCAGGTACACACGGAGTAGAGACCCTTTCTGAGAGTGTGTAGCAGGGATGTAGACCTTTGCCTTAGCACTTAGGCATGGTTTGGCCTAAGTGTGGCATAACACCCCTGTTGGATTTAAGTTTTCTTCCACGATGTGATTTTCAGTTTCAGACTTTATTTAGCTATCTTTGCTAGTTCATTGCCTTTTTTTTAGCCCAAGAACTGGGGGTGTTACGAGTATTGTAAAAGGAAAGCTAGAGATAGACGAAGCTAAGAAGTTCATATCCAGTGTAACCTATGCCTCACGGTGAACCGATGAGTTTATAGTCCACCAGCTTGAGGAATGAAACAACAAACAATCACAGCTTTTGAAGTTTGTGGTTGGGGATCTTTCATTCAAGGCGATTTTGTGGCTAACCCTTGGACTAAAGATCATGTGTTGAAGTACGGAAGGAACATCATCCACAATTAACAGTGCTTTGTGGATAGAATGTGTGGCTTTTTTACTTGTATCTGTGCAAAGAATATTAGTGAAATCCTCCTTGGACATTAAAGAGAACAGTTGGGTAAGCAGTTGCCGAAAAATTATAAATATCTCTCTATCTACTCTTTAATTTTCTACACTTCGCATTGCTTGCATTTTCATATCAATTGATTGAACCAGTTATCACACACGACATAATTTTCGTTCAATTTGTGTTTCATTCAAACTTGCACTACAAACCCTTGTAGTATTCTGTTACCTATCACTGTGTTTTCGAGATGTTGGTAAGCTTTGCATTAAAAATTTGTTTTAAGTTAAAATTTAAAAATAAAAAAATCTATTCACCCCCCCCCCCTCCCCCTTTCTAGACTTTTACCAAACACGGGACTAACAATGTTTGCTCGGAAAAAATAGTGCATTGGTTGGGAAATCCTTGGTTGAACACAGGGGTAGACCAAGATCGCCTTGGACCACGACTGTTATGATTTGACCATTTGAAGGCAAATAATCAACGCAATGGGCTCGACCTAAGACCAAACCAGACCCAAGGCTCGAGTAAAGCAAAGCGAACTTATCCCTCACCCACCCCCACCCCATATCAAAATTTTTTGAAAGAGTTAATACCACAAATGGACCTTTGACTATTGGGGTAATACTCCTTTTAGTCCCCGACTTTCAATTCGACCAGAAAGCATACTTCGACTTTAATTTTTTTTTACCACAAATAGTCATCCATTATAATTTCTGTTAAATGGATATTAAATCTAAGGTTAATATCGTCAAATAAAAAAATAATAAATGTTCCTCAGCACTTAGTAGAATGAATCCAAATACCCTTCAATGCACCTTCATTGAGTTCATTCTTCCCCAATTCTCCTCCAAAGTTTCAACACTCAGAATTTGGAGAGAGAAAAAAATACCCTTCATTTGCCCCAATTTTCCTTCAAAGCTTTAACACCAAGAATTTTGGAGAGAGAAAATGCAATACCCTTCATTTTTCCCTAATTTACCTTCACATTGAAAGTCGAGGATTAAAAGGAGTACTACTCCAATAGTCAGAGGACCATTTGTGGTATTAACTCTTTTTAAAATGTTTAAGAAAACTCTTAACCTTATCATTACAACAATCTAAAAAAAAAAAGGAGCTAATGAAACTTGTAGGCTTGCATATATAAATTGATTCGCTCGCACTGTAATGTTGGTGATAATTACAATAATGTCATTGCAATTTTTTTTTGAAAAAAAAAATCATCTTATTTGTTTCAATTTTTTTTTAATTATTATAAATGTAAGATTGGGATTAGTTCTTAGTTTTTTCTTGAGGGCATATTCTCATTCGAGTGTTAACCTATAGAATAGGGTCTTCGTATAAAAACTTATATTAGGATAAATCTCTACCGCCCGTTAGAATTTGATATTGGTTGAGGGGTTTAGTGTAAAAAAAAATACGGAGTCAATTTTATAATTATGAAAAATTTTGAAATTTTCAATATTTATCTACATAAAAATTAAAAAAATAAATAAATAATTGTTAATGAGTAAATTTCTTTTAATTTTTCAAATATCATTTCGCATTCTCAGTACAATATTACTTTCAATCCTACATAAATTGGACCTCATCTATTATCCTGAACTAGTACTCCACCCGTGCGTTGCACTTATGAAAATAAAAAAAAAGAAATATATATATATATATATATATATATATATATATATATATATATATATATATATATATATAATTTTGTGTATACAAACTCATAATAATTAGTGAGAACATGAATATATTTAAGAGTTTATAACAAATAAATAACAATATAGAAAATGTTATTATACTATCTTATATGTTGCAAAAAATGTGTGCTTCTTGCGCATGGTTTGAAAAATAACTCAAACCAACCCGGCCCATACAATATAAAATCCATGCAACTACAATGTAATAGAGCCAGTGGACTTCCATGCAACTACAATGTAATAGGCTGGAGAACAAATTGCACTTTTGGTCCTGTGAGTATTAGGGTACTGACAATTTGAGTACGTGACTTTCAAAACTCCCAATTTAGACCTTTAACTATGCAAAAATTGGCAGATTTGGTCCTCCGGGCCAAATTGCCGGCCAATTTTGGCCGGAAAAACATAAATTGGTTCGAATTTATTTGTGTTGAGGGCAAAACCGTCATTTCACTCCCTTCTTCTTCATTCTCCCTTTCTTCTTCGTTCTTCTTCTTCTTTTTCTTCTTATATACATATACAGTCGGAAAGAGAAAAAGAAGGTTAACCTAGATGGAGCTGAATTGTTGACAGCAGCTGCTGGTGGAGGGGGCGGTGGATCACCGGAAAGATTAGGCTTCTCCGGATCTTTTCTACGATTCCCTGCTGCTTCTTCGACGGCAGATTCAGAAATTTCTGCATCGGCAACAGTTCCTTTTGGCACCTGCTTTGCTTTTACAAATCAGCCAAATAATAAACTATGCATTTCTTCGTTCACAATATTAAATTAATAGCTGACAGACTTTTTTGTTTTTTAACCACCAGAAAAATAATTAAAAAAATGCTGAGAACGATTGAAACGCACACGGGCCGCATTATTATTATTGGTGGTATTGGAGCGAGGAATGTACAGCTTCTTGCTAGTGTCGGCATCAGAATCCGGCGACGGTTCAAGCAGAAGAAGAACGAAGAAGAAAGGGAGAATGAAGAAGAAGGGAGTGAAATGACGATTTTGCCCTCAACACAAATAAATTCGAACCAATTTATGTTTTTTCGGCCAAAATTGGCCGGCAATTTGGCCCGGAGGACCAAATCTGTCAATTTTTGCATAGTTAAAGGTCTAAATTGGGAGTTTTGAAAGTCACGTACTCAAATTGTCAGTACCCTAATACTCACAGGACCAAAAGTGCAATTTGTTCTAGGCTGGATGTATGGACCATGCAATGATCCACATAGTCCATGCAAATTTGGGCTGCAATATAATCTAAATAATAATAATAATATTGTTATTGTTAATTATAATAACAATAATAATAATTGCAATAATAATAATGATAATAATTTCCACTGACAGTTTCTAATAATATTAATATATATATATATATATATATATATATATATATATATATATATTTATATATTTCAGTTTCTAATTGTATTGATTATGAATATCAAATACATTTTTAATATATTAAGAATACATTAGTAATAATTGTGTGGACCATGTTCCATGTAATACATTTTCAATACCCTTAGTATATTTAAAATATATTTTTTTATTTATGATCCATACAATTGTGTGGACCATGTTCCATGTAATAAGGATTGATTTCTACTTAACTGGACCAATCCATCTATATACATATTATTATGTCTGTTATATAAACTCCTACATCCAGCCCAAATTTGCAGCCCAATATAAAATCCAACCAACCCGGCCCATGCTTGACATAACCTAGCTTAGAGACCACATGTCTCACTTCTTACCCTAACAACACCAGTACACCACAACGGAAAAAATGGGTTCTTTGTCTCCCTCCGATCTCTTTTCTTTTGTCTTCCTCTCCATCTGTCATTGCATGGGTGCATGTATATCTCTCTTGTTTAGCCATTCTGTCCAGATCCCTCCACGTTCTCTACTTCGATGTCAAGGAGAAACCAGGTATATCTCTCTTGTTTAGGATGAGACTGAAGAATGCATTTCTTCCCAAGTCAAGGAGAAACCATGTTTGTCCTTGTCATTCTTAATTTTCGTTACCTGCAATTTAATATTAGAATTGTATCCTGTACTATGTTTTAATAAAAAAAAAAAAAAGTATACTTAATTTCTTCCTCTATGTGTTGGTAATAATCCGAAGTAAAATAAATTTCTTAAATCCTTTTTTTTTTTTTGTTATTTAATCTAAATTATTCTTTACATATATACATTAATTTGAATTTTTTTTTTTGTCAAAAAATAAATTTGAATTTGTGAGATTAATTTGTGAGCTTAAAATTACTGTAATATTATGTAAAAAATTTATATATTTATACAAATATATATATATATATATATATATATATATATATATATATATATATATATATATATATATATATCACACACATACCGCTTGAGAATAAAAATACCCTAAACACAATAAAAATATAGTTATTGTGATGCATTTAAATTTTGTTAAATGCAATAAAAGTTTTACCTATGCATTCTGCCCAGGCTGAGTTAGATCACCAGTCCTAGTTGAAAGATTATCTTCACCAATCTGCAAGCTTGAACTGTATTAGAAACCTTCTAGCATCTATGCAAATGTTAAATGTAAACTCTCCACCTGGTCCTTCCTGGTTACAATATATATATATATACATTATTTTTTGGAAACATCTATAAATGCTTTTGTTACTTACCTCGTCATGAAATTACACACACACCCAAAAAAAAAAAAAAAAAAAAAAAAACCCAAAGCTAGAATGTAAGGCTACATAAAAATATTTTAAGAATGAATAATTGGAATGGTCACTAAGTAAAGAGTCTAAATATTTCAATGACATGAGAAAAAAAAAAAAAAAGATCTAGCTTTTGTATACTATTGACTATCTAAATTAGATGGAATGACAGATTTATTTATGAAATTAATTTGTTCCAACTGAATTAGATAGTCAATAGTATACAAAAGCTAGATCTTTTTTTTTTTTTTTCTCATGTCATTGAAATATTTAGACTCTTTACTTAGTGACCATTCCAATTATTCATTCTTAAAATATTTTTATGTAGCCTTACATTCTAGCTTTGGGTTTTTTTTTTTTTTTTTTTTTTTTTTTTTTTTTTTTTTTAGTTTTAACATGCGTTATTTTATAAATATGTTGCAGATTTGAGACCCATGTGTACAGCAAAATTTGAAAATACTGCAAGACAAATAGTAAGTCAATATTTGATAAAGAGTTTGAATCTAAAATAGCAGGTATGTTTATATTGTACCTTTATCTTCAATATTGTGTTTTCTCTTATCATGTATAGTAGTTGACTCCTTCAACTTTATCATTCTTCTTGCATTTGTTTGCTATTCACTTGAAAAAGTTTCCCTTCAAAATGAATATATAGTGAACATCTTTGTTTCTTGAATGCCATATATATCAGCTGGTAGAGAACTTAAAAGTTACTATTTAGAATTGCTATAGTGTACTCAATGTTTGCTATCAATAATTACTGCATAGTGGTAGCGCTAGCTCTATAATGCATATAAACATAAAAATGAGATTGAAGTTCTCCTATATTTTTTTTCCCTCAATTTGAGCAGTGTTGACAATGAGAATAAGTCATACTTGGTATATAATTTGGAAGATTTCATTCATCTTAATAGTTATTGATGAGAACTCTGCTCACAGGACAAATTCTAGTGCTCTATTTCTCTAATTTGTGAATATATAGAAATTCATAATTGTTGTTTGAATATAAAACAGTGAACAAAAAATATTAACTTAGGATCTTCCTCAATGAGGAAATCTATAAGTCTTGTTATGGAGAGTATATCTCCATCACCTATCCAATAATATCTAATACTATATAACAAAGTACGTATTAGAAGTATATTTACTATGATTTATATAGAATATAAATAACATGAATGAGAAGTTGTACCTGTTAGTTCTTACTGATCAACCTCCTTTCTGTCTAGCTAACAATAAATAAGCATTCCATGCTTTTGATTGTTTTTTGTGTTTTTGATTCAAACAGCTAATATGTGTGCTTTAAAAGTACTCTCATGGCTTTTCGGGTGTGATAAAGATGGGTTTGAGACCCAAGAACAAAGTGGCTAGACATCAAGCTTCAATTGTCAAAAAAGAATGCAACACTCGGTTTTTGTTTCCTTGTAACCCTTTTCTATATATAAGCAAAGGTCTATGTAGGTTGTGTAGATGATGTAGATGATTACCAAATTAAATGTTCACGCCACACAAAACCTTGGGAATGGGTATATGAAAATCACACGCTACATTGATATTTGATTGCTTGATAGGAAAAAGTACAGCATACTCAACCAATCAACCAATCAGCAATAAGAATGGCTAAAAAATAGAGTCCAAAAAGTCAACAACCTAAACAATAGCAAAATAGTTCTAAAAAAAAAAAAAAAAAAAAAAAAAAAAAAAAAAAAAAAAAAAAAGCAAAATGATGACCTTTTCAATGAGCGGGAAAATGCTTGAATCTCATTGGCCAACTTCCGGCTTCCTTTATATATATATATATATATATATATAGATATCATCATTATATGAGAGTCCCACATGCACACTTGCATATTCCAGCTATGCAAGCATATTTACAGTTAGGACCCGGACATATATCTTTACACTCTTCATGGGTTACGTTACGCACTCTGGCACAACAATGCTATCCTTCACGATTTGATCTTCTGGCAGGCTATTAGAAGTATGACAATTTGATGAATCTGCAAATATGTTGAATTAAGTAAACACATTGAAAATTATGAATATATAAATAAAAAACAATTACTAAGTTCAAATATATATTGAAAATGATGTACATATACACACATGAAATATATATTTTCTCAAATATTAGACACATGTCTAATATATGAGAAAAATTTTGTTCGTCACTACTACCGTGTCCAAAAAAATAGATAAATAAAAAAATAGGCGAGTAATTTTGTTATATACAATTAATTTTTTTCATCCTTTTCTGGAGCAAGTGGTACGAATGAAACAAAAACTCTTGCATATATCTTTTTGTGTTTGTGTGTGCATGTGTGCTATAACTTTGAAGATTTTATTTATCATTGTTTAGTATTTTCATAAATTAGGCAAATGTGCTCGTTCTCTAAAAACTCAGTTATATGAATGAATTGCTATCGTAATTCATTTGTATGGAAGATATATTTTTTGTCTAGATATATATGTAGTAATTTTTCCATTTAAAAAAAAAAAACATAATATCATCGATTATATTTACACATTATTGAAACATCTTTGTAGATGACATTGGTAGCGGCAACACAATCTTATCCATCCTCGTCTAGATCTAACACCTTCAGTTCATCAAGATGGGTTACTCGGGTGAAAATATATAATGGTAGAATATCACTCATTTAGTGATCATTTTATATTTTCAGTCAATTATTAATATCAGATTCATTTTAAGACAATTATTCTTTTCTATTTTTAGTGTATTAGTGAATTAGAATACCAAATGCAGTGATATTTTTACCTAAATTTCGTTCCATTTTTAATTGATGATGTAGATATTATTATTGAATTACTTCTGTTCCATTTTTAATTTACCTTTGCTAGTTTAAAATATGCAGTTGCTATTAATGATGAAGAATACAATTATTGAAATATTGTCGTCCAATTTTTAATTTTCGTACCATTTTTAATTAAACTGCAATGAACTGACCATTTATTTTTTATTTTAGTCAATTATGGATTATTTATTATTTGCAGTCAATTATTAATATTCATATCATTTTATATTTTTTTGTCAATTAGTAATATTAGATTCAATTATTATTTTTTATTTTCAGACAATTAGTCAATTAGATTGTAGATGCAGTGATATTTTTACCTAATTTCTGTTTGATATATTTTTATTTAATGATGTAGAATATTATTATTAAAATATTTGCGTT